AGCCCTTGTCCGCTGAACCAAGCCGTAAAGCTGAAAGCCTGAAGCCCTAAATGCGAAACCCTCAAGAGTAAACGCTATACGGTCTATACCATTTTCCTGCAATCAGGGACTCGTACCAGCGGCGCAGCAGTCCATGCTCATACAGAAGCCATGGGCCCAGTCAAGTTTGCCTGACACAAAGCGGATTCCATTTAGTAGTTTACAATCTTTTGCCCTTTTTCCCCTACGCTCTGCTGCCTGCTAAAGCTACGCGAGACTCAGGAGTCGAGGGAGGTTGCAGGTCTTGGAGAATTCAAGTCCAAGACGAACTGGGGAAAAAAGTCCAGGTGACCCCTAGGGCGCATTTTAGGGTCCGTCTCAAGCTATGTAGCATCGACTTTAGAACTTTATAGTTCCTATGCCGGTACTTTAAGGTCAAAGGGCATAACCATTATAATAGATGTGCTTGGGCCTTGAGGGCCAATGCTCAGAGTGCACCGCAAACCAGGATGGTTGCTTTGGTGTCCGCTTTGATACATTGCGGACGCAGCGTTTCAGGTAGCTTAGGGTTCATAGCGGTTTTTGATCGAACCAGGCATCGCGAGGACTTCTGACACATATGGCTATGGACAACGGCTACATACAGTGGCGCATGTGTTGATGCTTAAGATGTCGTTGCCGTGTGTTTGTGTGTGTGTCATGGAATTCACCTCTGATGTTATTGTAATTGTCGCTGACGGTTTTTCAGTTTCAACCGAGGGACAGCATGTGCGGAAAGAGACAATACCCGTCGAACCTCTCCCCCTCACACTTCTCAGACATCAGAGCAGCATCACTCGAAATCACCCCTCCCAATGAAAAACAACAGTTCCACGTTTGCAGGCCAATGCTAGAACCGAGTTCACATCCCTTGTGCTTGCTGGTGGGTCTCGTTGGACCGGAAGCTAACATGCCAAATGTCTTTGTGCCCCAGTCTCGGTTGCGGTTCAGTCGTTTGGTGCAAGCCTGAACCGATTGTGTACTGCGAAGTGGAAGCGCTGCAGGCCTTGCAACCGCCACATACGTTCAGCGCATATCTCCCGAGCACGGCGAGCCTGTAAAGAGAATTAACAAACGACCAACCGATACCAATTGCAGGCAGAGCGGTACTACTGCAGTGGTACACAGAGACACGAATACTAATAAATTTGCTAGTGCGGGAAAGATCTTCATGTAGGGTCCAGATTGCAATGGGTGACTTCCCAAAGCGAACGTAGACCCGACACCCGGGACCTTTCAAGCTAGTCTTGGGGGCTAGGGTTTGCTGATTCGGGTTGCGATTTGCATTTGCAGGAGCGCCGCTGTCAAGATTCAGAACTTCTGGCGTGAGCATCACAGGCAGGGCCAGGGTAATGGAAGGTTTGTAGAGTCTGACAAAGCCAAGGGATTAGCGGGCAGACGAAGGTGACCGGCAAAGAACAGCTGCCTGCCCAAAACCGCAGGTTCCTTTAGCGGCGCTTTGTGCCGCACGTGGAGAAGACACAAGTGGTCTTGATGTTACTTCTTGCATCGGCAAAGCAGTGCAAGCTGCAGCGGGGAACCGCTTACCGGCTGACTCCTTTGAGTCAGCTCCGGTTTGCGAATGGGAGGTCGAACAACAGCGCTTCCACAAGAGCAACAGCATCCACGCCTGGATAGTACATCATGTGCATCCTGCGTGGGTAGCTTTTAACTATCGTTTCACACACCCCCATGCAAAACGGTTTAGGCTCCATGACGCGTGTCTTGATGATCTAATGTCAAGACTGGGTGGACGATGTTGTCAGCCAAATATGTCCGTGAGATGTGCATTTCATCTTTCCTTTGACTAACGTCTGACCTTGGTCCGCAAATCGGCTGAACACCTTGGCCTTCGTCTATGTCCTGGATCCTAGTCCTAGGACCCCCCAACTTGGACAGTGCCCCAGGGTTCCTAAGGGAAGCTGAAGTGGTGTCTGCCTAATCAATACACATGCCATGATATTTAGCCTAAACCCCAGACCCGAAGGAATCTTGCTGAACGTGCCTCTCCCCTTTAACTTTATGCTTTGTACGTATATACATGTATATGTGTAAAAAAGTGTATTGGAAATATATGCATGTGTTTGTATGTATGTGTGTATATATATACACATGTTTATGTATACATATATATATATATAGAGAGAGAGAGAGAGAGAGAGAGAGACGTGACTAAGTCATTCTGCCATCTAGTTCTGTATTAAGTCTTGTGCCAAGCCTCCTGAGGCGGCGTGTATGGGGTTTGGGGTCGCAGCCCTAAGCCCTAGGGTTTTGTGTTTAGGGTTCAGGCTTCGCTCTTGCATACATTGTATATAATATATACCATCAAGAATATAATATATGATATGTGTATGTATGTATGTATGTATATATATATATATGATAGAGATAGAGGGAGAGAGAGAGAGAGAGAGAGAGAGAGAGAGACAGAGACAGAGACAGAGAAACTGTATTTCTGCGTCCCTCCACCCTACAAACACCTCAAACCTAAAGTCATTCCCAGAAAGGTAAAATGATCGAACCAAGAACTAAGTGCCAGCTAAACCCAAAAGCCCTGATGAATGAACTGTTTTCGATTGAGATTGGGGTCCCTCTTATCATCATATTGTATGTCTGATGAAGTGAGCGGGAAGGGTTCTTCGTCAGCGGTCCATCACAGGCCTTGCGTCCCAATGCTCGCAGTGTTCCCCTCAATTCTTGAGCTTTCCACTCCGAAAACGCCAGTGCCTATCCTGTATCCTCACTAGCCTAAACCCTAAAACCTCGAACTCTAGACCCTCAGCCCCTAAAGCTAGAGTCCGAGAGCCTGAACCCCTAAAACCAAACCCTAAACCCCAAAACTCCTACACCCCTAAACCCTAGAGCCCTAAATCGAATCGCGCAGGCATAAGGTTCAGCTTCGAGATCAGTCGAAGCTTTCTGCTGCTGCTGCTACGAAGATGCTTGGACGTGATGGGGTTTAGGGTTGAGGGGTTGAGGGTGATGGCTGCTTTTTGCAATGGGTTGGGTGACAGGAGTTGGGGTTTGAGTCTTGTGATCTAGATTTGCAAGTCCGTTGGAGCTTCTGAAGATTTGGTGTATGTCTGTCGAGACACTGCAGCACTCAAACGGTGGTTCGAAAGTTCTCAGCTTCTCTGGTTCCAAGAGGTTGAGGCAGGGATGGATGTCGCGTCATGACGAAGCCACAGACCGGCTGCTAGGTCCACCAGACACCGGGTCCGCAAACTTGGGGGGGGGGGCCATTAAAATACTTGGCTTCTGGGCCTTTGTCGTTTGTCCGGCAAATGGAAGATGGTTCATTGCAATTTGCAGTTCATGGGGGGCCGCGCGGGCGGGATCCTCTACCCAAAAACGAAAAGGGAGCGCTTACACTCGCTTACAGGCACTCCCACATGTCACGCTTGCCTTTCTGAAAGGAACAGGCTCCGCAGTAGCTGTTCCACTTATGCCAAATCCAGCCGACTCCATAGCAAAGAAATCCCAGAGCAACCCGCGTCCATGGGCATAACCTGATACGGTATGGGTGGCACATGACTCGGCAGTTTCTATGACCTTGCATATTTTTTGCAGACCGTCGAATCATCAATACGCCTATGTTTCGGGATGCCTCCAGTTTTGAGCAGTGAGATTTGAAATTCACACGGCTGGTGCCTCAATTCTACACTACGACAGCCAGAACAACACAAACGACGATCGCATACCATCAGCCCCAGTCTTACCATCGTGTCATCACAATCATCATCATCATCATCATCATCATAGCCCTCATCCTGATCCTGATCCTGATCTTCCCCCTCCTCCTCCTCCCCCGCCTCCTCCGCCTCCTCCGCCTCCTCCTCGTGGTCGTCGTCGGCGTCGCCGCCGCCGTCGTCGTCGTCGCCGTCGTCGTCGTAGTCGTCGTCATCGTCATCGTCGTCGTCATCGTGATCGTCATCGTCATCGTCGTCATCCTCATCGTCTTCTTCTTCTTCCGACGCAGCCAAAGTTTGAAGTCTGGCTAGCGAGCGCCTCATGACGACTTTCAGTCGCCCGGCCGCTTGCAGCGGCGTGGCACGTATGCTCCGTTTGAGCATGCCCTCGACATTAAGGGTGCTGTGCTCTAAACAGACATCCGAGTATCAGCGTACTTTGAGGATGCGATGCGCAAAAGTGGTTTAAACAGTTGCAACCTCCTCAGTCATCAAGGGTATCCAAGGCACATGGAATAGTCTCGCTGACTACTTTATTCCGTCCTGGCACCGTCAGGGCTGGCGGCAGACGTGTCATCAACCGGTGGATGAGGGTCTCCAAATGGTCGAGTCGTTGCTGAAGCAGATGCACGTCCATCGTCACACGACGGAGCCACGTCTCCAGGAACTCTTGATGACTGCTGAGCCAAGTCTCCCGCATCCGATGCATGGTGCCTATGGAGCTTCCGGTCTCCAGCATGAGGCGTGGGCTTTGAGGCTATACCTGCGTGACTAGAGTGATCAGGGCCAAGAGGGTTGCTAGAGGCGGAGGTGGCGTCTGACGCGGCTGTGGCTGTGTGCCGGCACAAGACAAGAACGTAGGCTGAGACTGAAGTATCATCTAGCTCCGCAGCGGTTGCCCCAGTCGGCTCCCTGTCATCGTCTAGCAAGTACGGCATGGCATCTTGCACCAGAACAGTGTAGTGTCCAGAGTGGGGGGTGGGGCCATGATGTCGTATGTAACATGTAACATCATACAAGTGCCATGCCACACGAAGTGTTCCCGGCTCACAAAAGACCGGGAGCTGGACAGCTCCTGCCAGGAGAAACGGATGTTGTGTCTTGCTAACTACCCCTGAGGCAACTGCAAATCTCGGCAACTGCACAAAGAGCCATGGCGGAGTTGCATCCAGGGCATGCAGCGACTCCTGCTGGTGCCAGCGGTTGATAAGTTCCTGCAACGCTGGGTGATGGACAGGAGTGTCCGGCAGGCCTAGGCATCTGTTGAGTGCCCCGGTGAGGCGTGTGTGGGCCTCACCCGAGGGTGAGACTGCACGGCTGCTCCATGTTGACACCCCTGATGAAGCGACCTTGGGAATAAGAAAGTCGATGAACTCAGCAATGTCATGCTGGTCTCTGGCCCCCCGCCACCCCAGAAGGAGAAACCCCAGCGAGCGTCGTGCTCGCATCCCCGGTCCTGAGAGCACAGTGAGTGTGCGCGGCAGCATGTGAGTGGTATGCGTACGGTTTGTGGCGTGCCAAAGTGCATAGACAACCGCATTCATGTAGCAATCATTACCATCATTGCGAAGCCTAAACGGTGGGATGAGCAAGGATGGGCACTCCTGCAGGCTCAATGGAAGACTGCCTCCGCCAGCTGCTGCACGATTGCTGCTCGTCTCGGTATTTCCCGCTTGAGGGAGGCCCCGATCAGCATCAGCGCCGAGACCCCAATCAACTGCACCAGATGCTCGTGCACTTGCTGCGCCACCGGTCCTCGCAGGGAGATGGAGAGGAAGAAGAGCGCCGTTGTGGCATTGGCATCCCCCACCTCGTTGAGGCGTGGGCGGGATGTGAACTTCTGAACCACGTCGCCCCGGAGATTTGCGAGCAAGTAGTCTATCTTCTCCAGAAGCGCCGGCTGTGCGATCGCCTCCTTGTCCGTGTCCCTGACCAGCCTTTTCTCCTGATGACTCCACTTGAAGTATGTCCACTCTTCGGCCTGATTCATCCAGTCCGCTGCCTGGAGCTTCTTGACCGACTCCGGTGTGGAGGTCATGAGCACCATGAGTTCCCGCAATCGGCGGATGAGGCAAGCCATCAACAGCGTCCTCAGCGGGGACTTGAGTGTCGCGTCTCGAGCATCCTGGCGAGTGTGCCAATCCTTGGATATCTGGATGAGGGCCGGCAGAATGCTCACCTCCGGGTCCTCGCGAAGGAAAAGACAAAAGCCTTTGTCTCCACGTAGCTCCGCAAGCTGGTCCTCCTGGCGGATGATGACCTTGGTGAGGGTCTTGATGGTGTCTTGATGTGGCCCGAGGGCGCTGGCCCCAAAAGGTCGCCCCGGTTGCTTTTGGTGACGGCGCTGTCTGGTGGCAGGCTGCTCCGGGCGTGGTCGCTTGGTAGGCTGGCCCTCCGAGGTGTCGCTCCCCTGTCCGCGTTGCGATGTGCTGTTCTGGAAGTTCACGTACCGGAAGATGTCCGCCTCCGGGTTGATTCCCTGCCCGTCCGGACTCATGATAGAGTCGCTCGGCATCTCGTGCTACTTGTTGCTGGCAGTACCTCGCAGCAAGGACCAGCTGATAGAGCACTGGGCACTGGACTGCGTGCCTGGCTGGAGCCCAGACTCGTCTGGCACACCAGGGGCAGTTTCGGCCACTACTGAGCTGGCTTCTGAAGGATTTGCAAATGCATTCAACGCTGTCCTGAAGAGGATGCACGATGTCCCAGTGAGCCCTACGCTGATGCTGTTTGATGTGCTGGTAGTCAGCTACCCAGAAGTGGCACAAGACACAATGAGCCTGGAGTTCCTGGCGGATGGCAGTGTTGGAGAGCAAGCTTTCCCAACGCGCCCACGAGGCTTGAAAGAAAGGCCGCTGAACTAAGGGTAGATTTTGCACCGGCGATTCTTGATGTGTCGGCGGCGGCTGAGTCGGCGGTTGGAGCTCCGCTCTCAACTCCACCTCAGCTGTTGGTTTGTGCACGAAGGAGGCCCCCCCTACAGCTTCACAGGCTCCCACCTCAATGTGATGTTTGAGATACTGCCATTTCGTGAATTTGCGACCACAAGCCCTGCAGTGAGGCAGGCCACCGACCGAATGCTGGGCAGGATCAAACAGATGTTTCGGCTCAGGTCTGCCCGCCTCGCTGGCCGGAGCCGGATGCTTGATGCCGCAGTGGATATGGAGCGCGTGCTCCGTCAAGAAGACGGCCTCGCAATGCTGGCAGACATACTGCTGAACAGGGATGGGTGCCGGCGGATGGTCCTGCGCACGCTGTATCAGGAGACGCAGGTGCGTCTCGTGCTGTCGCAGATAGTCCAGTACCCCTGCTTCAGTGGTAATGTCCGGTGCAACCCGTGCGCGCAACTCAAGTTTGGCCCGGGCCTGCTGGAGTTGGTCCAGGAGCTGCTCCCCTGGTTTGCGCAGCCCCGCCTGCTGCCAAATGGTTTCATTGGTGACTCGCGTGAGGTGTGCGGGTTTCCGCATGATGGCCCGCAAGTGCTTAAGGGTGCGCGTCTCCCATTTCTGCAGCCCCTGTGTGGTTAGGCCTACTGCAGCGAGTGAGTATATGGTGCTGGTGAAGACACAAGCAGCCCAGAGCCGGATTCGATGAGCTTGCGTGATGGCATGCCGACCTGTGAGAGACTTTTGAATGGAGTGGTAGCGGAGCTGGCCCGCCTGTAAGCGATGCTCGAGATTCCGGTCCGCCACATGGTGGTAACTGACCTTCGACCCCAAGTACTCATGCTCGGTTTTAATGGGAATGAGCTGAGTACGGCCATTCACCAGCACAACGAGATGAGGGAGCCCCTGCTTCAGTCGGGTGTGCGCTCGGAGTGCAGTTTGTGCCTGCTTGCCAACAAGTTTGAGCAAGATCGCTGTTTTCGAGAAGTTGATGCGCATTTTGTAATCTTCGAGAGTGCACAGCAGGATTTGCAACTCACGGAGGGCACGCTGAAGATCGTCAGAGGATTTTATGAGCCAGTGCGCCCAGCAGTCATCAGCAAACATGGTGGGTGTGTGTCTCACCCAAGTTTCGGAGAGTCGTTCTTCGAGGGTATCAAACAGGGCAATGGTATACCATACCCACAGGCATGGGGCTACTTTACAACCCTGCTTCAACCCGTTGGTGGGCACAAAGGCTGCAGTGTGATTCCCGGCCTGGTAGACAAATCTCGCACCCGTGTGGAGGCGTTGTACCACTTCGACCACAGCATGGGGAACCTGATACTTCTCCAACGTACTGTATATGCTGCAGCGATCGGCCAGGTCAAAGGCACGACTTAGGTCAAGAGACAGGCTGAGGGCTCCTGCAAGGGCCAGCGGTCGCCTGCCCGCGTGCATCCCAAATCTGGAAATATGCTGCGAGCGAAACAGCTTGGTGGCCTCCGCCACATGCATGTGGATGCGAAGGAGGGCATTCAGCGTGCCACGTCCCGCCGTGTAGGCAAACTGCGGACGTTGGGTAACAAGTTGGCCGAGCTGCTCAAGCATACGATCACGCAGGGCCCCCGCGAGGGCCTTTGAGGGCGGCCCCATGAGTCCAATAGGCCTGAGATTTCCCAAGACGTGCGGAGATTTCCCCACCTTAGGCAACATGACCATCTGAGCGTCAGTGAGGTCTCCCCGAAGATGTCCAGGTGAGCCTTGCACGAAGTGTTGGCGGAAGGAAGCACCGAAGACAGGGCCAAGCAAGGAAGCACAGAGTTTCCAGGCCGCGGCTGGCGCCAGATGGCTGGGGACAGCTTTGGCCGCTTTTGTAGCCTCCAGTTGCACAGTGATTTCGGCATCTGTGATGGGCAAGGACTCAGTGAGTGAGTTGCCTAGGGGACGGTCACTATGTTGCGCATAGGTGGTTTTACCCTGGGCTACCAAGGCCTGGACTTCGGCATTCTTGCTGAGGAGCTGCCCCTCGTCATCACGGAGACGCGAGAAGACCCGCCCAGGTGAGGGTGTCAAGGAGCGGACGATTTGAAATAGGGTACGCTGGTCGCCCCGTTGGGCTGCCTCTTCGGCCTGCAGCAGCTTGGTAGAAAAAGCAGTCCACTTGATGTCCTTACATTGCTGGCGGAGGGCCCTGGAGGCCCGAGCAAATGCCAAGTAGAGCTTCCACTTGTGAAGCATGGCGGCAATGGTGGCGACACGCGGCCTGCGCAGCAGAGCATACAAGCGCCAGGTTTGTCTGGCTGAGGCACGGAACGGCGCCTGCGCGCTGACACGGCTGTCGGCAATCGGAGGTGGAGGGAAGACCTGCCGCACACATTGCTGGAGTATGTGATTGACACGGGTATGCAAGGCGTGGGGGTCATGGATGGGGAGGTCCTGCAGCTTTTCAGCGACCAGGGTTTGGAGGGCTGCCGCGTCCGCATTGCAACTGGTAGCGGCCTCAAGCAGACGGGCTCTGTCGATGGGCGGGCTGGTGGTCTGAGGACGGCCTGGCCGCCAGTGCACCGGCAGCATTGGTAGCTGAGCCTCGACAGGCAGGTGGCCAGCAAGGCGCCGCCCTGCGACAGGAAAGTGATGCAAGGGACGAGCCTGACGGCTCGTCCCCGTGGCCACGTTCCTACGGGTCAGGACATAATCGATTTGTGAGTAGCCCTGGTGACTGTAGTGAGTGTGTGGCGGTTGCGCGTGCCAGCTGTTCAATGCGCATAAGTCGTGACTGGCTAAGAGCGCGGGCAGACGAGAGTCAGTGGTGCTAGCACTAGTGGCTGGTCCCACGGCATTGCCTACATGAGGGTGTTGTGGTCGCAAGTTAGTATTGTAATCCCCACACGCAAAGAGGATGTTCCGAGAGGGCAAGGAGCCAAGGGTGACATCAAGGGCATCCCAAACCGAATCTCTAAGCTTGGTGTTTTCCTGTGTGGATAAGTGACTGCGCCACACGTGCTGGTAAGTAGCAACTATATCCAGGCTAACATCCGAATGCTTAGGCTTGGCACGGACATGCACCACGCGACCCCCGATCACCTCATGCACAGCTGGGTCCTGGAAGTGGGCACGTGACAACATGACGAGCAGCCCAGCATACCTGTCTGTGGCGGCATCAGCAGGGGCCGGCGCGCTGTGTATACACAGCCACTTCCCTGAGTAGTACTCTGAGCTGGCCGACCAGTGCGTTTCTTGCACAACGCAAACCTGGTACTTGTTGTGCACCTCCAACCAGGCGACTAGTTCTTGATACAACCCCGCATGTAGACCCCCAGCATTCCAACTGATGCAGTGCAGCTCGGGTTTCGCACCTGCTCGTTGGCGTGCCCGTCGCGGATTTGACCTGGGAACAGCTTGGGGAGGAGTATATGGTAGGGTCTGCAGGGATTCCGCACTGTGCCAGCGACCTCGGTAGTAGGTTCCGCCTGTCCGGGCAGCCCTGAGTCGGGCTCTGCGGTAAGCACGCTTTTCTGAAAACCTAGGCACAGCTTGGGTGAGTGGCATGCTCAGCGCTCTGCTGCAATGCTTCCCCGGCGGAGCGCCAGGTCCCGCCTCCACTGCAGCTATGGAGGCAACCCTCACCCCAACTGCTCCCTCTATACTATTTGTCAGCATCATTACGGAAAGAGGGAGGCAGCAGCCGGACTTGGGACCGGCTTGGCTCATCGACTTGGGCGGCTTAGGCGGGTGATGGCTAGGGGTTTGGGGCTTATGAGGCTTAGGGTGAACAGAGGCTATGGCGGAGTGCGGGCCTGCACGTGCCAGGCATTTTGCGTCGCGGCCCTGGCCGTCGGCTGCGCAGAGGCCATCGTCCGGAACAGACCTGTAAAGAGGCAGTGGAATAAGGACGGGTGGGGGCCTATGTTTACGCCGGGGCCTTAGGGAGGGTCCGAGGGGGTGCAGGGTCGGCAGGGCTTGAAATCGCACAGTGCTTAGGCTGCGAGGCCTGCCAAGAAGCCATCGGCATGTGGCCACCGGGAGCTGCACACAGATGCGTCGGGCGCGGCAGCAAGGCTCAAGAGGCAGGTGCGCCCCTCCTGGGGCGTCTCTCGTGGGTAGCCTGGTACTCCCAGTTGGCCCAGTATTGCCGGCGAGATTCTGTAAGATACTGGTGGGCCAGCCGCTGAACCACTTGCCAGGAGGCACCCTGGAGTTTCCTTCTGAGGGCCCCGACCCTGGCCCCTTGGGACCTGCTCGAGATGTTCGGGCAGGTAGCACATAATTCCAACCGAAATTGGCCGCAAAGCACCCCCCTGGATTCCTCCAAGCTCGGTCCCTCCAGCACGAGGCTTGTCTCCGACCATGTAAGTGAGTTAAGTGAAGCTGGCGAGGCAGCTTCACAGGAGGTAGAGCTGGAAAGTCCAACCGGAGAGCTGCTGGGAGACCTTTCGAACCTTCCGTCCGGCAAGGGTGGCCCCTGCACTCGCACCATGAACCTTTGGTTGTTCTCGCGCACTTCCAATGCCGGCCATCGGCGGGCAGGATTGGAGTCGCTGTCGCTGGCCCCATCGGCCGGTGTGTCGGACCGGCCTGCTGCCGCAGAAGACCTCCCAGAGATGGCTGTGGATGGAGGGTGCAGCGGCTGCGGTGGTGGTGGCCCCCGTGGCGCTCTGACAACAAGTGGCCCCTGGCCATGATCGTGTGGAGTGACGCCCATGGACTGCTCGAGGTCCTCCAGTTCAGATAAAGTGGCACCAGCACCAGCATCACTGTCATCGTCAGCCATGGCCGCGCGCGCATAGAGGTTTCACCCAAGTCAGCCCGGGCCTTGCGAGCCTAAGCCAGCCAAGGAGAAGCCCAGCCCAAAAAGCCAAGCCCCCCAGGCCCCAAAAGAAGAAGAGAACACCACCCCCGGGCACTCGCCTGTGAGCCACGGGGCTTTCATCCTCATCGTCATCATCAGCATCATCATCAGAGTCATCACCCTCACATCGCGATCGCCAGTATCATGCTCAATTCTCGTCGCACCTGTAGTCACAGGCAGTATTCGAACATGTGTTCTAGGAGTAATATTGGCAAGTAGCACCCGCGGGCAAAGCCGCAGTCGATACCGCTGTTAAGTTAAAAAAAACGACTGTGGCAAGCTTCCTGAAAACTGCTGGTATGATGATGAATACTCGTACTGGCATTCGCCGGAGCATTAGTCGGAGTACCGGTCTTTTGTTCAGCACATCTTCGAGGCTTCCTCAAAAGTCTTTGGTGTTCCGGTCTTTCGTCTTGGTTTTGGGATTCCAGCACTGAAGGGGTCAACCCTACACCCTGAACCCCCAGAGTTTTTTTTTGTTCGGGCATGCCCAGGATTCAGGCAAGATGGCGTGGCTTCAGCGCCGCCTGGCACGCAATCGGCTCGAGGTTTCTGTGATTCGGTTTACGTTGGGGGGCCCTATTCGCGTAACGCCGTTTGCTGTTCGATCCCGGTGGGAGATTAGTTGCGGCTGTGGTTTGGGACGCTGAAAACTTTAACCCGTTTCGTGTTGCATGGGAGTGTTTGTGGTTTGGGATGTCAGACCCTGAACCTCAAGCCCTGAGGGCTTTGGAATGCCATGAGCTTTGATCCCGTAAACCCAAAGGCCTCCACCCCCGAAACATCAAGAGCGTTGACCCCGAACGCCTTACACTACGCCCCCCAAAACCCCAAAAGCCTACAAAACGCCTTAAAGGCCCTCACGTTACGCCCCAAAAAGGCTCCAAAAGCCTACCTTAGAGTCCTAAGCTCTAAGCTCTATAAGCTCCCTCTCTCTCCTCAGGTTCGTCGGGGGAAGATCGTCAAGGCCGGACCTTGCACAGCGCAGGACTTCTTTAGGGGCTTGGAGGGAGTTTAGTTCGGTTTTTTGTTGAGTGCTTCTCGTGTCTGGGGAGGTTTTGGGGTTTAGGGGTTCAGAGATATTTGTTTTTGGTGGTTTTCGGGGTTTAGGGATTGTGGGGTCTTGCAAGTTTGGGTTTAGGGGCATGGGTTTTGGAGTTAGGGTTTCTTTCGGGTTTCAAAAGCCGTAAGACCCCCAACACCTAGCCCTAAACCCTAAACAGCTCCACAAACGCAAACAGGCGGCTCGCATCATCCAGCGCCACACCCGCGGCTTCCTGGTGCGAGTGGCCATCCGAAGGCCACGTATTTTATGTTGTTAGTTTAGGTTTTGGGAGTTTAGGCTACTATTGATATACCCGTAGAGTCTTAATCAATTACTTGCACTACTTACTGTCGCACTGTCATTATACCTCCCAAACCCTATTCTAATTGTCACGGCCCCTGCATATACTGGTGCGAGGTTTGGCCAAGGAATCATTGCATTCTAAAGGGCGATGCAGCTTAGGAGTTTAAAGGGCGCCCTCGAGGGATCTACGAGGGTTGAGGGTTGTTGAAGGAAGGATCATGGCACTTATATAGTAGCTAACCAGGGGTACAGGAAACATCATTGTTGTCATGAAAACACACAGATCCAAAGGGTACTTGTAGCCTTACCTACCGAGTCCCCTGATCCTGCTAGTACGCACTGCTTACCCTTCAAACCCTTTGGGTTCGTAGACGAAGGTGTAGGGTTCAGGGATGATGGTTGCAGCCAACAGGATCCGTCAACCCCAAACCTTTCGGGAAAACCCTGCACCCTGAACGCAAAGCCCTATAAAGTACCCTAAACCAGGCAATGCCAAGAGCCCAAACCTCAAACGGTAGGCTTGCGGTTCGATCTGGAATACCCTGAACCCTGAACATCAAGCCTAGGCCGCGAGAGCCGAAACCCCTATAGACTCGAAATGCCACACCCAGAAGCCTACACATGATTGCCAATATCAGTGTAAGTCACATACACGTGTACACACACAGACATACTATTTTTTGTTGTTGTGTTTTTATTGCTGCTGTTATTTTTATTGTGATTGTGATTGATACTGTTATGATTGTTGTTGACACCCCAAAGAGCCCTGATACCTTGGAAGTCCTGGGTTTAGGGTTTAGGGCAGCCCACCAACTCAAGCCCCAACCAGCCCGTCCTTGGCCCAAAGTCTGAATTGGGTGCTTTGGGGCGTTTGGGCTTTCGGGCTTGCGCCTTAGTCAGGGCGTTTGGGTTTCAGGCTTCGGCATTGCGGGTTTTCGGGGTTATGCTGTTGGGTTTTAGGCTAGGGGGCAGTAGTTCCAGTCGTACTAGCAGTCGTCGCAGTACTAGTCATTAGTCTTGTGATTCCACCGTATTTCCTTTTATTTCTTTGCTTTTAACCACCCTAAACGCTGTCGTGTGGCTTCTTTCTTTCGTTTCATTTCTTTTTCTTCGCTTCCGGGCGTTTGAGGGTTAGGGTTTCGGGTTTAGGGGGTAGGGTTTTGGGGTGAAATCGAAGCCCAAACCGCCCTGAAACTCTCCAGGTTAGGGTCCCTTTTGCGGTCCCCAAAAAAAGCACGGCACCATGATCAAAAGGACCCTCAACGGGTCCCCCATTTAGAGAACTCCCCAGGTCGGGTTCCCTTACAGATTTCCTGTGATGGATTTCTCCAGGCATAAAGCCGCTGTGGTGATCCAGGCTTCCCGTGGCTCAGGGTTTGGGGTTTTCAGGTTTAGGGTTTAGGTCGTCGGGATCCGGGGCCTTCCTTTCGGGGCCTTGATATCAGGATCCCGATTACAATAATTTTCAATGCTCTAGACGTCGGGGGGGAGGCTTGGGGCTTTAAAGCCTGTAGGTTCAGCCTTTTGGTGTTCGGTTCACAGGGGGTTTGTGAGTTCCTTAGACATGCAGAGACAGTCTCTAAGCCCCAAGCCTTAAGCCCCAAACCTCAATCCCTTGACGGCAACCAGACGGACTAAAACTTGTCCACTCAGATCCTAAAGAAACGGGCTTTCCCAGGAACATCTGGAAGGAATCCAGGCCCTCTGGGCTTTCCAATTCCGTAGTCGGCAACCTTCGCTTTGTCTCATGACATGATGAGGCATTCCTGCTGAATATACACTCTTACATGTTGAACAGTGGATGTGATTGTGGCTCTTGGCCTCGCCCTCACCTCAGAGAGTCAAACCAATCGGTGAAGTTGTGAAACGGTGGTGAAGCGGTGCGTTGGTGAAATGGCTTGACCACCCCGATCTAGAACCTTTACAAGGCTTCTTTCTCCAGCCCATCAACCCCACAACCTTGTAAATGCATGAGAACAAACCAGGCAAATCCCGTAGAAGTCGAAGAGAAGTTACAAACATCCCATCGAAAACTACACACCCTATGAAACAGCCCTTCAGGACCCCACCCAAACCCCCCCAAAGCGGCACACAAAACCTTGTCAAAGCCTCGCAACATCCATCCAAAGCCGCCCTTTCAGCGCTACGCCCTCGGCTTCCTGACACGGCGCAACCTGCGCCAGGCGCCTCCGGGCCTTCGTTGTGTGGTTTTGAGGAGTTGTTTTGAGGTAGTCAAGTCATGTGGCAGGTTTTGCTGTAAGGGTTTTCAGGAGGGTGTTGCGTCTTTACATTCAATACGACCACGGTTTTTGGGGCAATTTTATGTAGAAGTATATCGGGAGTCTAAGACAATGTTCTTTTGGTGTTTCAGGTTTCGGGCTCGACAAGGCCTTGTAGGCCAAGGTAGAGTTCGGTAGACCTGTCACCTGTGCCCGCATAACCCGTGTCACTTGTGCCCGCGCATCGCGTGTCGCTCGTGCCCGCGTAGGTGCCTGAAATCACGGCAGGGCCACACTTTGGGCCACTTGTCGCGAAAACGTGGACCTGTCACTTGTGCCTACGTTTCGGTCTTTAAT